TGGCAAGGACACGCGTCAGCAGCGGCCGAGGATGGCAGCGTGTGAGCAGGGCAGGGCTGGCAGCCGCTCAGGGACACCTCGGCCTTGAAGGTGCCGGGGGGACAAGCTGGAATAGGGGACAACATGGAGGTGAGCACTTGGGTCCCCCTGTCCTCAACCTGAGCATCATCACCAGCTTCCAGGGATTCAGAGCATTTCTCCTTATCACACGGCTCGTTTTTACCCACCATGAATGGGGAGGCTCCTCCTATCAACCCACCCCTCTGTCTGGGGGAACCCTGCCAGTCCACCCCTCTGCACCAGATGCACTCGCTGTGTCAGCTACGCAAGGCCGCTCCGAGTCTTCCCCCAAGGACACCAGAGATGCCCAAGAATGCCTGACTGCACTGAGGATGCCTGAGCAATCCCAAGAGTGCTGAAGATGCCCCAAGGGGGCAGGGATGGCTCTCAGAGACACCCCAAGACAGGGCATCCCCAGCCCACGCCACCCTTCCGCTCCCACCATCGCTCCCCACCTTGACATTGCTCTCCTGCCGCCTCGTAGCCAGCCTGGCACTGGCACTGCTCGATGGGCACCAACCACTCTCCATCCATGTTGCAGTGCAGCATCGGCACCCTGTCGGCCACCGCGTGCTCCACGCAGGCTCCCTCCACCTTCGCCAGCTGCTGGGAGTCAGCGCCTGCCACCGTCTCGGGGAACACGGCCAGGCCCCGCAGCACAGCCGGGCACGTCTTGTAGTAAACCCGCACCGACAGCAGGGACACGCAGGCCCCCAGGTCCTGAAAAGCCAGGTAGAAACCTTTCCGGCGCAGAGGTCCCACCGAGCGAACCTCCACGTTGAGTTTGACGTTCCGCGTCTCAAAGTCTTCTTGCACCGTGATCTCATCCGGAGCAATGGTGTCAATCTTCTTGAACTGTCGCTTCTGGAAATTGGTGCCATAGTCAACGTCAGATTCAGCATAGAAGAGGTTGAAGGTCTCCTTGCAGGAGCCGCCGCCTCCAGGGAAGCTGTTGCAGTCGCGGACGGTGAATTTGAGCTCGATGAAGATGCGCTGCGCCTCGCTGCGGTAGATCCAGTTGGTGCGCAGCCAGTTCTCCTGCTCGCCCTGCAGCACGCTGCACACCGCGTAGATGTAGATCCCCGAGTCGTTCAGCACGTGCTGCTGCAGGTCCCACTGCACCGCAGGGAGAAATGGGTCGGTGGTGCTGCTGCTCCTCAGCCCCAGCCAGCAGACAGCCTGTCCCCCTGGATGCTCCCCACTCCCATCCCCTCAGATGTCCCCATGGACATGGTAAGGGCCACCCGTACCCCTGTGGCCGCCATCACACAACCAAAGAGGTGTCACCACCTCCCCTTCCATGTCCCCATCCATACGGACGCCCCCCCCAACCCATGGAAGTCTCCCCATCCCGATGGATGCCCCCCCCCCCCCCCCCGTCCCTATCCCCAATGGGATGAACCCACCTGCATCCCCAAGGATGGTCCCAATCCATCCCCGTGGATGAATGATCTGTCCCCATCCATACCACCATCCCCATCCCCATGAAGTTCTCTTTCCTCATGGTTGATCCATCCCCATTCCTACTGACATCCCCACAAGGGATCCTACTGATGTCCCCACAAGGACATCCATTTCTCCATCGCCATGGATGCCCCCACCCCATCCCATCCCACCCCACCCCATCCCATCCCACCCCATCTGTGATGCTGGTTTGAGGAGGAGCTTGCTGGATGCTCACCCCTTTGCCATAGGGCTGGGTGAGCCAGCCCAGCTCCCCTTGAGCCTTGGCGAAGTCCAACAGGACAACTGTGGGAAGAGGAGAGAAAGGGACCATTAGTGGGATGAGCACAAAGCCAGGAAGATGCCAACCGTGACCCACAGACAGCCCCAGGACCTGCAGGGCCACCGATGCACTCAGATGCCTCCTGGAAGCACAGATACCTCCAAGTCCCCCTGGAACCCACAGATGACCTCAGAACCCACAGGCACCTCCAGGACCAACAGATGTCCAGCAGGGTCCATGCCTGTCCCCAGAACACCCAGATGCCACCCAGATCCACGGAGATCCCCCAGACCCACACATATAACGTTCCTGGGACCCACACGGCTCCCACAGATGCCCCCATAACCCACAGAAACCCCCAACACTCCCAGACACCCCCATCACCTTTAAATACCCTCAAATACCTCCGGGACCCCCAAAGGTCCATGAGACCCCTGTAAGACCACAGGACCCCAAAACCCCCAGGAGCCCCCACCCTGCACCACCGCCCCGTGTCCCCCCAGGTCCCTCGGGGCCATCAGGAGAGGACATGTCCCAGCATGCCGAGGGCGGTGGCCGGATCCAGCACCGGGGGAGGAAGAGGAGGAGGAAGAGGAGGCCACGGCCGGGGCGGAAGCGCCCATGAATCAGCCCCCAGGAATGCGCCCGGCTTCGCGCCCGCCGGCACAGCCTCGACCCATCCCCCAGGGTTGGAGTTTGGGGACGTGACCCCCACCGTGGGGTAAGCATTGAGAACGCCAAACTCGTGACATATTTCACCCCACGGGGCCACGTCTGGGGAAAATGCGGGCACAGCACTGCTTTCCTGCGGCTGGAATTCCCCCAGGAGGGGAAATCTGGCACGGCTGGGTTTGTGGGGTGGCACCTTTTGGGGCTCATCCCCCTCCACTGCCCCCATCCCCACCTGCACGGCCACGACCACAGCCATTCCCACCCCCGCCCTGACCCCCCCCACACTCCTTCCCCACCCTCATCGCCGTCCCATCGCTGTCCCGACCCCCAGTGCCCCCCACCCCACCCCACTCCATCCCCCCCCCCTCCACCTCCACTCCCCATTCCTACACCTCAACCGTGGCTCCAGACCCCCCTCCCCACTCAAATCCTATTTAGTTGTGAGGTGGGGGCAATAAACCACCCCACCCCCTTCCTTTCCCTTGCAGAGCCCAAACCCGGCATTTCACACCCCAACTTTGCCATATTTTCACTTCTTTCACCCCAAATCGTTGAGTCCATAGGGACGCTCCTCGGAGCGCCCCGAATCCCGCCTCCCCTCCCCATTTAGGGCTTATAACCCCCATCCCAATAAATTCCTTCACCTCCCAATAAAACAAACCCAACCACCTCCAATTCGCCCCCCAAATCCCAAAGCTGAACCCAAGCTGCCCCATAGAGCCCCACGGAACCGGAGGGGGGAAGGGAGCGGTTTGTTTTCCCAACACTTTTCGGGCTTTCCTGACATTGTTCTCAGCTCCAGCACCGGATCCTGCCCCGCGAACCTTCCTCTTACGGTATCTTTATGGGGCGGATTTATCAACTTTGGGCTCATTTCTGCCCTTCCCCACCCCCCCACCCCATACATTTAAAGGATTCCCACCAGCGGTGTTGGGGGATCCTCACTTTTCCCGACTGGGAGCTCGGCACCCACGGGCTCAAAGTCCCGAACTCTCCGTTTTTAATCGTTATTAACCATTAGATCGTCATTAACTGATATGAAAACGTCTCCTTTTGCCCCCTCCCACCCCCCAAACGAACTTTTGCCCCCTTCCATCCCTCAAAGCCCAAAGCGCTGCGAGCTCTCGGGTAGGGAGGCGTTGAGCTTCATTGCAACCTCTACCCCCCCCCCCCCCAAAAAAAAAAAGGGAAAAACAATAAAATATTGGGATTGGGGGGAGGGGGAGAAAAAGGAAAAAGTTCTGAAATAATGGGGTAAAGTTGGGGGAGGGAAGGAGAAAAGAAGGGGAAAAAAGTTGGTTTTGGGGTCGCGGCGGTTCTCACCTTCCTTGGGGGCGGCGGGGCCGATGATGAAGAGGAGGAGGAGGGTGGGGGGGATGAAGGCTGCCGGGGGGGCCATGGCGGGACGCGGCCCCGCAGCTTCACGCACTCCGTGGGAGCGCTCCGGCTCTGTTCATTCATGCCCTGCTGACGTCACGTGGCCCCGCCCACCAATAGGAGAGCGGGGGGGGGCGCTCTTAAAGGGACAGCGAGTATCCGAAGGAGGGGGAGAAGGTGGAGCACGCTCGGAAAGCGGGCAGCCCCCCCAGGTTGGGCTGTGTAGAGCCGACCCACATTTGGACCCGTCGGCACACGAGGGGTTAAATGGCCCCTCCCCCCCCCCCCCATCTGCCTTTCATTCATGAAACGGCGTGGGAAGGGGGGGCGGCCAACGGCGGGGGGGGGCGGGGCGTAGCGGTTCCCACCCGCAGCGCTGCGGGGTTGGGGGGCAGAGCAGAGCCCTGCGAGCGCTGCGGGAGCGCGTCCTCCGTCCGTCCGTCTGTCCTTCCGCTGCACGGCCTGTCCGTCCCTCTGTCTGGCAGATCAACCCTCCCCCATACCCACCTGTCCAGCCCTCAGCTGTCTATCCAAGCACTTCCCCGTCCGTCTGTCCGTCCATCCGTGCATCCATCCACTACTCTGTCTATCCATCCATCCCCCCATTCATTACCCCATACATCCATCCCATCCACCCCTTCATCCATCCATCCATCCACCCACCACCCATCCCTTCCCATCCCCCATCATCCACCCTCTCCCCTCATCTCAGTGTTGCCTGCTCCCCCCCCCCACCCCCTCTCCATCTGCCCCCACACTTTTGGGACGTTTCCAGCACTTTCTCCCAGGGTTGCGACGCGCCCGGATTGACCGGCCGGGCCGGCCCAGCTGCTCCCCAAAACCTCACCGCACCCCAGGCCCCACCGTGACCCCGACTCGTCCCACACCACGCCCCACATCTCTGCTGTGGGATGGGAGCTGGGGTTCCCCAAATCCCCATTAGGACCTTTTGGGGGCAGTTGGGGTCCTGCCTGCTTGGGGTCCCCTCTCAAAGTCACAGCATCCTTCAGCACCTCAAATCCACATCACCCACCCAAACATTCCCCAGCCCCCAAGGACCCCGGGCACCTCCTCCTCCCACACCCCAAAATGAAGGGCCTCCTTCCTCTTTTCCCTCTCCCCTCCACCTTCCCCCCCCCCCCAAAAAAAAATCTCCAATCCAGAGTTTGGAAAACCAATACTGTTTAATGGCAGGGGGAGCCCAGACGCCACGGTGAGGGGCTCCCGCGCCCCCAAAACATGGAACCCCCCACCAAAACGGGGTTCAGTCCTCGGGGGCCCCCTGACCCTCTGGGATGACACCAGCTGCCATCTGGTCTCGTTGCCACAGCTGCCCCACCAGGGCATCCAGCAGTGGGGCCACCCGCGCCAGACCCCCCCGGCCCACCCCAGAACCCCCTGCCCGCAGCACCCGCAGCCCCCAGCTGTCCTCGAAGGCAGCCACGTCCGACTCCGTCACAGCAGTGTGGGGACACAGGTCGAATCTGAGGACATGAAGGGATTACGGTGATGGCAGCGCCCTAAAAATCGGACGGGGGAACAGGGAGGGCTGAGGATTTGCGGGGGAACGAGATTTAGGGTGATGGGGATACGCGGGGTGCTGGGATTTGATAAGGTTGGGGCTGCTGGAATTCTGGCTGCCCTGGGTTGCTGAGGGTTAGGGGTGCTGGAAGGTGATGGGTGCTGAGATGCTGGGGATGGAGGTGACGTAGATGCAGGGTGCTGTGGGATACGGAGGATTCGAAGCGCTCGGGATTTGGGGTCTTAAGGGAGAGCAGGGAAGGGCAGTGCGGGGGATTTGAGGTGCTTCATTGGGGCTGTGGCTGCCAGGGACCCCCAGTACCTGGTGCCCACCACCACACGCAGCGTGTCCTCGCCGGGCTGCAGCACACGCGCCAGCCGCGCCGGCAGCTCCTCGAAGGACGCGCGGTCGGTGAAGGAGAACAGCAAAAGGATGGCGTCCGCCTCCTCCCTGCAGGCCTGGAAGAGGAGAGGCGGCCGTCACCCACCTCAGCGCCCCATATCCCCCCCCCTCACCCCAGACCCCACGTCTGTCCCCAGCTCACGGGCAGGAGGTGCTCGAATTTCCGCAGGGCACTCTCCCCGCAGTCCCAGAAACGCAGGTGAAAGAGCACGGGGCGCTCGGAGCCCAGCGGCACGGCGGGCCAGAACAGCGTGCTCACCTCGATTCCTGCGGGACGGCAAAGGGACGCATCCAGCCAACGGCCCCACAGCACCGTGACACGTCCCACAGACCCCACGTCCTTGCCATACTGTGACACCAAAGACCCCCACGGACACCCGCATCCCTGCGGTCCCCTCCACACCATCCCACTGAGCGCCCCATAGACCTCGTGTCGCCACTGCGTCCCTGTGACACCGAGCACCCCACAGATCCCATGCCCTCACCGTGTCCCTGTGATACCGTTAATCTGAGCACCCCACAGACCCCAGATCCCTGTGCTTCCCACCGTACCACGGCACAGCATCTCACAGACCCCACGTCCCCTCCGTCCCCACCACACCATGACACCAAGCACCCCACGGATCCCATGTCTGCGCCCCCCACCACACCATGACACCAAGCACCCCATGTCTGCGCACCCCCCCACCGTGCCACCACACCGAGTATCCCACCGATCCCATTTCCTCCCACTATGCCCTCATGGCACCGTTACGCTCAGCATCCCCATCGTGTTCCCCCCCCACACACCGTGACCCCGAGCCCCCCATGTCTCCCCTCCATACCCAACGTCTCTCGGTGCAAAGGGGGCACGGGGCTCCCAGCCAGCGCTGCCACCAACGCCGTTTTGCCCACCCCGCTGCGTCCCGAAACGAAGAGTTTGTAGGTGACCGTGGGGACACTGAGGGCGGGGGGCAGCGCGGGGCGCTCCAGCAGCCCTGGGGGGGGAAGGGGAGGGGGAGGGTGGGAGAAGAAGGGGATGTGTGAGGCGTTTGGGGCGGTTTGGGGTTGACGTGGGGGGGGGGGGGGGGCTGGGGAACGCTGTAGGGTCTCACCAAAAACTCTGCGCTGGTTCTTGTGGAGGATGGAGGCCAGGTACGGGCGGCCGGGGGGGGACAGCAGCCAGCCCGGCTCCACCATCGCGGGGTGGAACCTGGGGAGCACACGGGGAAACCCCCACGGCCGTGGGGCACTGAGCCCCTATGGGTCTCCATTGCCCCCACTGGGCCCCAGCGCCCCTACCGCTCCCGCATCCCTCTCTAAACGCCCCGTTGGGGGGCGCCCCGTTACACCCCCTACCCGCCCACGGCGCCACGCATCCCGCCCCGAGCCCGCGTCCCACCCGCGTGCCGCCCCACGGCTCCCCGAACGCCGCCGGGCAGCGCCCACCCCCCGCCATCCCTTCCCCACCGCGCTCCCGCCTCCCTCACCCGCGGCTGCTTCCGCTCCGACGACGTCACGTGATGAGCGTGGCCTCGCGCAAAGCCCCGCCCCTTCCGGCGGCTTCACGTGGGTCAGGAGCTCCGAGCGCTTCAGCCCCATAGGCGACCCCAGGGCTTCGGGTTACGGAGGGTCTCAGCCCTACAGCTGCCGTGTGCGAGCCCCGCACGAACCCCAGACCTCTGTGTCGTGACCCCATTTGCTATAGGCTGCCCAAACCTACAGAAGGGAGCTCTGAGCCGTATGGGTTTAAGGCCCCCCGGCGTTACGGGCCGCCCTAAAGGAGATGGGGCTTCAGGGGCGTCCCTATGGCGGAGCGTTGCCCCACGCACCCCCCCCCCCCCCACCAGGAGCCCCATTTCACCCCACACACACGCAGCAGCATTCGGCCACTTCTGCCGGTTTTTATTTGTTAAACGGCTAAAAATTCCTCGAGGGAGAGAGAGAGCGAGACGTAAAAAAAAAATGTACACAGATTTCTTTAAATATCACCAAAAAGGGACTCCTCACCCCCCCCCCCCCCCCCCCTCCAACCGGGCGCTGCCGTTTTGGGGTCATTTGAAGGGGATTTGGGGCCGTTAGGAGAGCAGCCGGTGGCGGTGGGTGCCCGCATCGCAGCCAGCTCTCAGCAGCCCCACGTTTTTGCTTTTTTTGCCTTTCATTCTTTTCTAAGGGGGGAGGTGCTGAGACATGCAGACAGGAGAGGAACGTCGGACGTCGCGTTGGGGTCCCCGAGGAGTGGGGATTTGGGAACGGATTGAACCTCAAGGTTTATCTACAAACTGCAGATGAGGCGCTGCCCTCCCTCCCAGCCCCATCCCACGCGGGGCTCCCCAGCCCTGCTGGACCACAACGGTACTGCTGTCATAGGAAACAACGAGCCCCGACGCTTCCTGGGGAGGGCTGCCACCCCAAAGGCTGGGGCTGGCGGTGGCGAAGCCGGCAAAGCTCAGTGGGGATGGCGAGGAGATGGGGACCACGTCATGGCGCTGCCGGTGCACAGGGCTGTGTTTTGGGATGAGTTTCCTACTGGTTTTTTTTTGCTATTTCGGGTGCCGAAGCCGGGAGCATCCTCAGGAAGGGCGCGCTGTTGGTGGAACGGAGCAGAATGCGCCCAGCTTCCCCCCACCTCGAGCTGCAAAGGAAGGAAGGAGGGAGGAAGGAAGGAAGTTTGTCCCAGACGGACACACGGGTTCAATCCATTTGGATTTTGCTTTGTTTTAATCTTTGCGGAAGGAGGCACATGCAAAGATGGTTTTGTTCCTGCAGTGGAGGCTCACGCCGTGCCGCTCGGTGCACCAGCACTCAGCATTCGGGCTGTTCCTTTCAGCATTTCCAATCCCTCTGCTGGGAATGTGCAGCAGCACAGCACCAAGGCTGCTGGGCAAGGAGGGCTGTGAAAGCAAGTCCTGCCCGTCCTATTCACAATGATTTTCATTTTTTGGCTTTACAATGCAAAACTGTCCTTTCTTCCTTCTTACGGTCCTGCAACGAGGACAGGAATGAAGCTGTCAGGCCAAAGGGGTGAGAGGCAAAAAGAAGGCATCGTGTTCGTGTCGAGCAAAGCTTACGGTCACAGCTTGCAGTGCTGAGAGTTTGTTCAGGTATTGCTGTTGTTTTCTTTCCTCCAAGCACGAGAATCGTCAGTGCAATGAGCTGACAGCCTCCAGCTGCAAGGTCGGCTCTAGGAAAGCACCGTGACTCGCCCGACATCCTTGGCCTGGGCTGCAGCGTGGAGCACAGTAACAGGTCCTACAGCAGGGCGCTGCTCCCCTGCTTGTAAACACGATTTGCTTCACCGGGACGTGCTGGAGGTCGGCTTGAGCTGCATTGTTTGTTGTTCCCTAATTCACAGTTTGAATGCCTGCGCGACAGATTTCAGAGGGAGAGGGAGAGCCACGGGGAGGGGGCGGTGGCAGTAGGGCCGCATTATCTCTTTGCTCGCACGAAGTACAAGGCATTTGTCTTGGGATAGTACTTCACGTTCTGTTTCTTGTCCATCAGACCACCGAATATGATGAGCTCCCCTCTGCCTTGCACCACCGTGTGCAGGCTGGTCTCGGGCGGCCCCACCACCGAGCTGCTAGTGAACACCTTCCATTTCACTCGTCCTTTCTCCTTGGTGTCCTTAATGTCCAGCACGTACATCTGCATGGGTTTGCAGTTCATGCTCTGGTACAAAGGCTTCCCCACGTTCAGGGACTGCGGAGGGTGGTGGCCCAGGCGGCGGGCGATGGGTGGCAGTGAGTGGCCGTCGCCTTGCGCAGAGCCCGGCCGCGCGTCGGCACCGCTGCCCTGGCCGCCCGGGGAGCCCGGCGAGGAGCCGAGCGGGGGGCTGAGAGCAGCAGAAGCCGGAGGGGCTTTGGAGGAGAGAGCTTTGATGGCCTCCAAGCTCCTGCGGAGCGCTCCGGGGGACACGGCTCCCGGCAGGGAGTGGGGCGGGGTGTGGATGCCATTGGTGTGCTCGGGGGGGTTGCGCAGCGTCCTGCCGTCGGCGCCGTCCGCCTGGCACAGGGCAGCCGCTTTCTGCTCCCAGCTCGAATCGACCGAGGCCAAACGCAGCTCCTTCTGCTCCGGCAGCGAGCCCCGCCGCGGCGCCAGGGCGAGCCCGACTTTCAGCTCGCATCCTTCAGTGGCTCCGGGTGTGCCGGGCGACACGAGCTGCACCGGGCTGTCCAAGGAGGCCCCGCCAGGCGCCGCAGCCCCCGGCGATAAGCTGCCACCGTTGAGCACCGGGGAGCCGTCACCTCTGGCTGGGGAGAGGCTGCCCTCCCGCGAACCTGAGGGTGTCTGGCGCTGGGCTCTGGGCCTCAGGGTGCCCCAGCGGCCGTTGACGCAGGGAGCCTCGTCTGTGGTCCTGACTGGGGACTGGGAGCGGTACTCGCGCGTTTCGGGGACCAGGGCGGGCGGTGTGGCACTGATGGGAGACGGACGGGAGTTCAGGCTGGGGCTCAGCGGGGCTCTGCCGCTGGGAGCCTGGCTGAAGACCACGACACACTGTCCTACCTGCAAGAGAGGAGAGGGAATGGGTTATGGACTGCTGGGGGGCTGCTGGCAGGGACGAAAAGGAAGAGAGTTTGGGGCATTCTGGGCAGGAAAGTTCTGCAGACGTGTGCGAGAGAGCAGAGATCCCGCTGCATCCGTCCCAAAGCCAGACTCACCCTGCAGGCAGGATGGCACCACAGCTCTGGGGCTCCGTGGTCCTCATTCTCTACCTTGAGAGGCTGCCACGTCCAGGGGTTTGCCTGCATGTGCAGCAGCCAGGCGTCTTTGAACAGCTGTGAAGAAAAGCACAAGGGATTCAGGAGACCAGCGTGCTGCCAAGATCATCCTGCAGGGGCAGGAATGGTGCTGGGCAGCTGCCTCACTGCTGCAAGCAGAGGGACAGTGACCTACATTGGGATCTGACTACCCAGGGGTGACTGACTACACCCTGCTGTGGCTATGCACAGGTCTTTTCATCCCCATCTACTGTCCCAGTGTAAAGTCAGGGCTTCTAATTAGCCTCAGTTAGCTGCTCACATAGCTCCTGGGGTGATTTTTATTGATTAAAGGCAGCTCCAGCTGTAGTGACAGCTTTGCTGGAAAGTCTGCAGCGTGCATCTCGGATCTGCAGGACAAAATGTCACCTGGGGAAAGCAAGGAGCCTTCCTGCTCCCCAGCCTGCACCCAGGGCTCATGGTACAGCAGGACTCGTGCAGCTCATGCCCACACTCCCCACAGGATACTTACTGCGTTGGGACCACCACAGCCACCAAGGATTAAAATGGTTTCGTCATCTATGACAATCTGGGGGGGGGCAAAGAAGAGCGTTTCAGACCAGCAAAACCAGGACGTGGTAATGCTTCATGGTTAAATGCCACAAGGTATGATAACTGTTCTTCTTCTGATGGGCTAAACAGCAATTTGTATCTAGAAATGCTCATCACAGTTCTGGGACACGTGCAGGATGCAGTCTGGTATCTACCTGAGCCTCGGGAAGATTAGAAGTGTAATCTCATAGAACAGCTGGCCAGAAAAAACAAGGGCACGGCATGCAAAGACTGCAAAGATAACTGACTCAGAAACAGGGCACTAGTTTTCAGGTGACCCACAGAGAGCTGCCTGGAAGCTGGAAATTCAGCCATGCCTGGTTTCTGTTTGGCAGCAGCTGCCTGTGCTCAGGCGGGTTGTGGAGCAGAGTGAGAGAAGGGAGCATCACCTGAGATTGGCCACCTCTTGGGTGAGGGCTGGGCCCGGAGATGTTTGGCTTGGACCAAGCCCACTGCTCGAGATCCAGCACCCAGACGTCGTTGCTCCTGTGGGGGTGAAAAAACAGGCAGAGGCTCAGCTTGAGGTCCTAAACAAGCACCTGCTCACAGCACACCCATGCCCTTTGAAAACCTCTGGGGTGAGGTTTTATCACAGACTGGGTTTGCTGCAGGCTGCTTGCCCCCAGGGAACTCACTGCAGGAGGTGAAACACGCAGTGAACAGCCAGCAGACCCCGCAGGAGCCTGCAGCAAGCATCAGCCCATCTCCAATCCCAGCCACGAGGGCAGGCAGGGTGAGCACAGAGGATTATCTCAAGGCTCTCTGATCAAAAAAACCGATCTGCAGCCTTCCCACACACCTCACCACCTCTCTGCTGCCCCAGTTCAGGGTTTTGCTTCAGGCAGCGTTGGCAGCGCTCTGCGCTGTGAGGACAACCAGGCAGTCACACAGGGATCCTGCTGCAAGGCTCTCACAGCCCAGCCTCACAGAGATTCCTTTCAGAAATGCCATCCCAGCCCACGCTCCTTGCAGGAGAACCTGTCCAATGCCTTCCCCCCCAAACTTACATTTGTCGAGAGCCCAGCGAACCCCCAAAGACAATCATTTTGTCCTCAATGACACAGGAGGAGTGTCCTGCCA